CAAAAAGTATTCTCTGCAGACAGTAGGAAAGCAGTTATTAATTTTTAATCTACCAACTGGGCAGTAATCTTGTCTAGTAAGCCCTTGGTTAATTTTAAAACAGAATTTGAAGGTGGTTTATATAAATCTCTTGAAATTGTACCCTTAACCAGAGTAACTTCCTTTGAAAGCAAAACTTACTTGCTGTCTCTGTTATGCGTATTCCTGGTGAATGGCAAGAGGATAGGTTTCTTATTTCTAGGTACAATCAGTCTTTGCAATTTGCCAGTAAATTGGTTCTTTTGCTTATTTCTTAGGACTCTTATTTTCTGTTTGCTAGGCGTGTGCCATTTTTCTGAGGAGTGGAAAGGGGCTTTTGAAACACTCTGTGGTTTGGATTGTTTCTAATGTTCTCCTGTAGTGACAGAACTTCCTTACAACAGTCTCTTTTCAATCACTGTGAACTCCTTTTATTCTTGGTAATGATGTCTTTTGACAAAATCATAATTGCACTCTGTCTTTATAAAAACATGATTTTCCAGTGACTGTAGAGGGTCAGATCCCGTGAACATGTTCTAAAGTCAGTAAAGCATCTAGATAATGGTCTACCTACAAAAACAGTTTCATTTGAGACATGCACTGCTTCTTGGTGTTCTGCCTCTCTCGCAGCAGAGTCCAAATTCATGTTTTTGTGGAATTATCAAGCTGTACATGCAACAGTATCTTGCTGGCTGTTGTATATGGTGCATCCCATAATAAACATTTTCCAGACCAGTATTCAGTGAACCTATCCCCTATAAATTATTTTGCTTTCAAAAGCAAAATCTGACATTAATAGTGTCAGTAAATGCCCATCACTAAAACCATTTGTTCTCTAGTGGACAGACTACAAGATCTTTATATGATATGTCATCAAGCTCCAAGCACTTACTTTGACAAACTGCTATCAGGTGTGGAAATTTCACTTATGGGAATCTCCTCCTTGACTTTTTCCACAATTATTGATCTGTGCTTGGACCAGCTTATTTTCACTCTACTGAACTTAAGATGCCTCCATCATAGGTTCTTTAAGGGTTGTTTTGTTTGGGTGTTTCTGCAAGTATTTTTACCTTCTTTCTATTATTATTAGTACTGATGTTCCACTTGGTGTCTGAGACTTCCCTCTCCTCTTAAAGACAAGGCTTTTCTTGAAGAAAAGCCTATCTATACCTGCAGCTGTTCTTCAGCATTTCCAAGGTCCACTATGCAAATGCTGCATGGCATAACCATAGAGATAATCCTGTTTTTCAGATCAGGAGTTCACATTGCTTGTACTTTCTGAGCTAAAGTGACATCCTCTGTTAAATTTTTAGCTGGTAGAGGCAGCTATCTTCTCCTGTCTCTTGAAAGCTTCTGTGTGCACAGCTGCTCCCGATAGTATAAATGTTATATCCATAGTATATTGTGCTACCAGTTCTGGCAGTAACAGAAATTTCCATGTTGTTACAAGATCTCTTGGCATATCATCCTTACAAAACCTAATATTGTATACACGACCTGTGGGGTTTCCTGCTTGCATGTAATGTGCAGTTATCTGCTAACGAGGTACTGTGAAGGTTACTCACTTTGTGGTGGAGTGTGTGCCAGAGTAATGTTTGGTGTTCATCTGGAAAAAAAAAAGTCAATTGACTAGTTAGTGTAATAAAGTCAAAAGATTCTCAGGGAGTTATATTCTTTGTATGCTGTTTTGGAGAGTGAAGGGACAGGACAGACATGTGATTGTGTTTATCAAAGTAGCTTAATCTCATCAAAATAGAATTTCCTGTTTCAGAATGTTAGATCATCTAGTCAACGGATCTAGTTGAAGATGTCCCTGCTCATTGCAGGGGGGGTTGGGCTAGATGACTTTTAAAGATCCTTTCCAACCCAAACTATTCTATGATTCTAACTGTGTCTTAGTCTCTTGTGTTTGACAGAGTTTCTGGTCTTAGTAATGTTTTCTTAAGTTACTTCTGCATTAATTAATGAATCTGGTGAAATCAACTCCTTTACAGTTTCTATCTTACTGAAACTTTATCTTAGGATATATTTTATCTTACGGATATAGAAACTTCTTATGTTGTGATGTATTCTGGTTTGGTCCTTTGTAATTTCCATAATTTTCTTGGGTTTCTTCAAAACTAAATAGTCTGTAACAAAATCTGTACCTTCCCCCCAGAAGCATAGCAAATTGGGACAGCGAAATACTCAGCAATTACCACTCTTCCGTGTATCTTACTGAAACTTTATCTTAGGATATATTTTATCTTATGGATATAGAAACTTCTTATGTTGTGATGGTTTGGTCCTTTGTAATTTCCATAATTTTCTTGGGTTTCTTCAAAACTAAATAGTCTGTAACAAAATCTGTACCTTCCCCCCAGAAGCATAGCAAATTGGGACAGTGAAATACTCAGCAATTAACACTCTTCCGTGAGAAAACAGGTTTTTCTTTTGGGCTTACCTAGTTGTGTTCTATACTGGTGTTTGCCTACAGATTCTTACAAAGCTAAAATGTCAATGGTCATTTGATTCTCCTTAATGAAATATTTAATTAATGCATCCAAAGGTCTTAGAAGCCCAGTTTCCCTTATGTGGAAGGAGGTTGGTTAGATCCGCCATGTTACGGTCACCTTGTTTAGACATCCATCTATTATCAAACTCACATAGAGCTCACTGGTGAGTAATTCTTTAGCTTCATCCTTTTAGTACCTTCTAAAACTATAGGTCTGTGTTTTCCCAGGTGGAGTTTTTAGGACTTACGGTGGACTGGCAAGCAGTGAGAGCAGGATGCTTCACAGAGGCCTTGACTGTCCCATTCTGACTGGAGAAAGCCTTAAGTCTACCCTGACTGGATAAAGTCTTAAGTAGCCCAGTCTGGTCCCATAACTAATTCTGCTTTGAGTAGGTGGCTGAACTAGAGACGTTCTGAGGTCCCTTTGCATCTGAACGATGCTGTGATTATCAATTCTGTGATCTTAAGTTAATGAACAATTTTATATTAAAATTTGTGGGCTGATTCTGGATAACATTAGTAAGAAGATTCTGGATAACAGTAAGAGGTCTCAGAGGGACTTCTGTACTGCCTGTGATCAGGCTTTCGCTGCATTTGTCATGATGCATTTATCTTACCTGTCAAGAGAAGATCACTTTACCTGAGTCATCTTGAAGTTCTAATAGCTATTAATTGGTCAACTTAAGTGCTTTATAAACACTAAGGAATTTGTCAATGCTAATGAAATGCCTGTTCTGTCGTCTTTTAGGTATAATATTTGCATCTTCTTTTTCTTACATTACAGGTTTATGACACTAAAAGAAACTATACAGTATTATTGCCTAATCAGGTGTCAGACTCTTAGTGCAAATACCAAAAGCAACATGTGAACTGCCTTTGAATGACAAGCAGTAGGAGTGGGACCCCTGTCATCTTGAGAGGGACATCTGTGCCTAGGTTGATGTCATTTTAACACAGGAGCGCTTCCCGGCTTCTGGGCCTGTGCGTATACCTTTGCTGTGGTTCAAATTTATTGTCTGGGCATGAGTTAACTGAGCCATGGGAAGGAAACTTGGAGGGAGTTTCCAACTGAAGGAATTTCAGCTGTGTGGGTTGGACAGGGATCTCTTGATGGCTGTAGGGAGGCAGGGACTTTCTTTTGCATGTCTCAGCAGGCAGTTTAGATGTGCTTTGAAAGATCTGGGATTACCGGATGCTGACTTCCGCTAAATCCTGAACTCAGTAAGAGAAGAGAGCTGCTTCTACATAAGGTAGTGCTGGTAACGCAGCTGGCTGCACCTTAGCTTTTAGGCAGCATCTGCTTGTTTACTCACGTCTTCTATGAGTACGGTGACTCTCTGATTAAAATAAGAAAACGACAGTCTTGTAAATCGTACTGAAAACTTTATTTGCTCTGATAGAATCAGTTTCTTAAAGAGTTAGTATCAGTCTGTTAATTACATTAGCATGGTTTCTCGTCTTAGAGAGCATTTCTCAAACTAGTGGATATCATGATTTAAGTCCTATATATTAACAGTATACCACTTACCACTTTCTAAGACATAATAGAAAAATAAAATACGTATAATGTTGTGGATACAGCTGCATGTCTGTTCTTTTAGAACAGGTTTGTTCCTAACTGTTCTTGTGTCTGGGGCAATGTCTTATGGAATCTGATTTTTTCCTGTTACCTGCTTTGATCTGTTTAGGTGATAATATTTGATTTTTAAACTGCATTTACTTTGCAATTTAGTCACTGTTGAATTTCTGCTGTATGCAAACAAGCAAGGACTCTTAAAAGTTTTAGCAAATCTATAAAAGCACTGCTTAGTGGCCAATGTGCATAACTAGTATTTGTGGGTCAGCAAGACCTTTTGTTTTTTAGGTGTAGTTTGCTACAGTAGGTGGTGGAAACATCTACTAAAAAGAGTTGAGAATGTTTTGTGGAGCAAATATTAACAATTTTATACTGCTTTGTTCATTATGCTTTCTAAAGAGCAAAGCTTTTGGCATTTCTTTTGGTAGAGGCTGTATGATGGTATATCTTGGTCTAGTAGTTGTTGCTAATAAAAAATTTATTATGCCTTTTGCAAAATTGTTTAGTCATACTTGGATGCACCAGTGTAAATAAATCTCTTTTATGCTTCAGATACTGATAGACATCTTTTTCTTTTGGTTAGTGCCTTAGATGTTAACCAGTATTTTTCACCAATTCCTTATGCTTAAATTCTTAAATGTCTGTGCATATATTTAAAGAAAGGAAAGAAAGAACCAGAAAACAACCTAATGCAGCGCGTTAGGCTCTATAGCTTAAGTCAGATAGACTTGAAGTTGTTTCCAAATGTGTTCATGCTGTATATCTGATTTCTGTAACAGATAGAAATAGTGGCAAAGTAATTATCAGTATGCTGGGATGACTGTGAAAGATAAAGTCTCAAATAAGAAGTAAAATACTGTATTTGTACAAAGTTTTATAATGTAATCGAATCCTATTTTTTCCATCTCTTAGATGATGAAGCATGCCTGGGACAATTATAGGCAATATGGATGGGGACATAATGAACTCAAACCAATTGCCCGGAAAGGACATTCCACCAACATATTTGGTAGGCTATACTTTCTGGTTTTTTAGTTTGGTTTTATCTATCTATCTATCTATCTATCTATCTATCTATCTATCTATCTATCTATCTATCTATCTATCTATTTCTGTCCTTGCTATCCTCTTTGAAAATCTACCCAAACTTACTAGCAAATTCTGTTTTAATATAAATCTTTTGAAGTGTGGATGACAGAAGTGTATTGATTATTTCAATGGTACTTCAATGAATTACTTGACTAAACCATCTTTTGCGGAATAATATGTTCTTATTGTTGTAAAAGCTAAGCTGTGTCTATGTGCAATGTTCCTTTGTGTGTATACACACATGTATAGATATATAAAAAGCTACAATGTAGTGATGGTATTTTGGGATGCAATGAATATAGATGTGTTGTAAAAAAAACCTCATCTTGTCTAGGTCTTTGTGTTTAATTCCATGAGAATGTGATACAAGACAAAATGCACATGCAAGACCCTGAAAGACTGCTAGTACCAATGTGAAATTTAAAGTAGCTTTTAAAAAAAGATCTGGGTGAGGTGAAAATGACGTTGTTACTTGACGTGTGACTTGTGGATCCTGAATCTGTAGACTGGAATGAAAGAAAAAAAACACCATTCATACTATTGGAGTTTGAGGGTAGGGTCAAGTTTTGAAGCAATTCAAGGGATGGAGTGAGAATATTTGAGCAATGGAGTGTGAATATGAGTGTTACAAATGGCATTTAGAATAGTTTGAAACATGAGGAAGGTAAAGATCAAGATTCTGAATAACCTACTGTTGCATACATGTGATGGGTAGATGGCTTTTCTTCCTTAAAATATTAGTGACCTGCAGCAGTACTGCATTGGGATAGAATAAGTAGAACAGTGATTGGAAAGTGGCAAATATTTTATTGGTATTCAAACCAGGAAATAATCCTTTTTTTTTGTCCCCAGTTCTGTAGGATTGATATTTCAAAAAAAACTGGTTGTAGCTGTTGAGGACTGAGCCCTGGAGGTTCTCTAGGTTCACCCTCTGGTATAGCAAAACACATAACCTTGATGTTGGTGATTAAGGTTAAGCCTGGATTGATCCAGAATGTACACCACCTAAATGCATGAACTTCATGGCTCAGTCATCTTATTTTGAAACGTACACAGGAGAGCTGCTGTAGGACTGGGTAGGGTTTTTTGAATTCTATTCAGGATTTCATACTGTGTTCATCTACTCTCTGGTATCTGAGGAAGGTACAAATTTATCCTAACCACTTTTTACATGAAGAATGAGTGTGAATATATTGTGTATACCTTAAGTATGATAGTATTGGTTATAATAGTTTGCTTGAAGTCAAGATTTTATTGGCTTTTATTGTAAGGCAACTGGCTAATGACTTTGTGTGAGATTGGTTCTTGCTGTAATTTGTATTTGTTTTATTTATCTTGCCTTAAACCTTGAATTTGTTTCTTGTGGATGATAGAAATACAGTTTAGGATTGTGTAAGTGTCTGTTTTTCTGTGTTTAGTGCCTGAACCCAGCATAAATTATTTTGGCTTAAATCAAAATTGGTTAGCTTTTTGTTTTCATTTGTAGGAAAAAAGTAAACTCCCAGAAGAAACTCATTCCAAATGAAGAGTCAAAGGACTTGTTTCAAAAGTATTGTAATGCTTAAAAAGACTTCAAATTTTGCTCTGTCCCTTCCCCTGATCTCCTTAAATTTTATCTTGAAACCATTCTTATATCTTACCAAATAAACAAGTGATTTTCATTATATCCAAACAGTTTTTCCATCAAATTTATTTGCATGGTGAACTTCAGCCTTAAATAAGTGTTGGACATGGAGAACAGAGGAGAACTTTAACTAGACACGCTGTTCCTTTCTCCTGCTCCCAGCAATGGAAGGAGAACCTCTGAGTTAAATTTTCTGCAATACTTAAAAACAAACAAAATCAAAAACCTGCCCACAAATAAACCCTCTTCCTCCAAACCTGTAGTGCGTAGAAGCCTATTTAAATCTGTAAGAGAATACTTCCAGCTGCTGTACTAACCCTATTTGCAGTAAGGACTGTTCACCTTTACTACAAGAAAACCCCTTGGAGCCTGGCATTGATGGCTTTTGGTCATGCACTGGAACCTGGTTTCTTACACTTCAGTATTGTGTGAAAGCTGATACTGTTTTACTACTTTATATTCCTTTATGAAAAAAATGGCTGGGTGAGGGAGAGTTGTCTGAGTGTGTGGAAGATGAGCAAGTTAGCACGCTCAGGAGAAAAAAGCATCTGGACTGGTCAAGGAGTTTGAAAAGTGAAATGGAAGAGTCTAAGATGCAGGCAGCACTGAGCGAGAGAGTGTGAGGCTGAAAGGAGACCAGAGCAACAGGCTTCTGCTGTGACAGACAGAAAGACGTTTCTTAAGTTCCCAGAGAGTATTGTGTAGTATTCTTAGATAATTTCTCTTTGCTACCTCGTCCATTGGCAGTTCTTTCATTTCTACTAGAAAAATCTCTTCTGAAGCTTCCTGTGATTTAGTTGTATGTTATCTCTAAGTCATGGCTTTCCTTTGTATTTTTTCCACCTGATGAAGTTGTATCTGACATTGAAAATCTTTGAAAATGTTCACCTGTATGATGATGTAGTCTTTGCTGTTGAATTTACATGCAATTCTGTTGCTTAATTTGCCAAGTATAATTTTAGATCAGCCTTGGTTTGTAACCCAGACTCTCTGTGATGTGAAGTTTTTTCTTTATGTGGCAAGAAGACATTTTTCTAATGTTTGTTTTTAATGTGACTGACACAATATTTTGAGCAGTTTGGAATTATAGTTTTACTCTAGTCTTTTTTTTCTTTCCATTCCTCCTCTGCTTGCTTCTAACATTTCTCATAATGAGTTTGGAGGACTTCTACTTCTTTGTACTTGGAATATTTATTCTTTGGAGTTTTGGCGTTGCTGTCTGAAAGAAATTGCAGACTTCCCGGGGTTACAAGTTTCTGATCCACTTATTTCAGCTAACTCTAGCAGCTGATGCTCTCTAAGTGTTTGTTCTTTTAAAATCCAGATGCTATTTTGTGCCATTTAATTTTTAGCAAAATCACGTTGTTATTGTTCTGTTCAAGGCTATTTCACATGAAAAACTTTCCTGAAATATATAACCTTCAGTATATACCAAGTCTAAAAGAGAATCAGCTACTGTTGATTTGGTGGGTGGTAGATGGCGGGGTGTGTGTGTGTGTCCTTCTACCGAGGACTGTCTAGCCTGTATTTTTATTGCTAGTACTTTACCAATCTCTATTTCCCATTATGACACCATTCCTAGCAGTATTTGCCTTTATAGAAGCACTACATAATTCTTTTTAAAATCTGATGCTATTTTTAATAAAAGGTGCTCAGCAAAACCTGTTTTTATTATTCATCTCAAAGATGATTTGACCCAAACTACTTTCTGCTGTTACTGCAGTTTGTTATACTTCCATTTCAATTCATAGCACATCTGTGAGATTCAGCAAGGAGATGGCATCACTGGTTGACCCTGCAACCCTTTGCATGAATCTTTGGGAAATAGGGTTTACTGATAATTCTCAAGTGAGGTAATGTGATTTAATTTAGAAGGCAAATAAGCCATTAATCTTCCTTGTCAGATTCCCCTCTCCCTCTGAAGCAGTGTATATCTGTATCTATGTCTATGCCAAGTGGAACATCAGTGTTCCCAGCATTGCAGGTTCAGGCTGGGGTAAGAGAAGGGAGGGGAGGTGGCCTGCTCTGGTCTCACAAAACTTAGTTTTAAATCCGTAAAAAAATAAGGAAAGGTGATAAACATTAAAGCAAGGTGCTCTGTGCTTCACTGAAGCATGCCAACATTTGTGGACTGTCCCAGTTATTAGTTTGGCTTTTATAACAAAACCTGCCGGGGTCGTGTTAGTTGACCTGCAACTAGAAATTCTTGCCAATCTTTCCGAGATGTCTGACCTGGTGATTGGAACCCTGCTAAAAGTGTTGCCTATCAAACTGTGTAGTCAGTCTTGAATAGTACCTCTTCAACAGCTGAGTCACAGCATTAGTAGTAGCATGATGCTGCTTTGGGAAAATATGACTGGGAATTGGTGGGCTTTTAAAGACACTTACATTTAGATGACATATGAAATTAACCTTTAGAGGTTCCATGTTGGTGAAACAGGGTGATAACTTGCTCCTATCTTTGTGAAAGTTGCCTGTTTTTGAAAGGATTGGTAATCTCAAGATTTGTTATTTATTCCTACTCTATAACGTAAAATCAAGTATGAAAGGCAAGGAGAAAGTATAGCAGAGAGGTGTAATTTCTCTTTCCAGTTTAAATTATTATTTGCAGCTCTGCTGATGGTTGTAGCGGCTAAACTAAAAAAGGTTAACTTAAATTGCTGGAATCATTTGATGGTGGCTACAGGGTGTTATTGCAGAGCTGGGGTTGTATGGGATCTGGGTCAATTTCTCATTAGAACACAAAGGGTGAAGAGACTGATGGAAAATGATGCGTGTAAGATAATGAGGAAGCATGACAAACACTGAGCCTTACTTCAGAAGGTTTTCCAGGTTTAGCGAAAACCGGAGTAGTTGATGGTATTGTCGGATTCTCTTGCTGTAATGAAACCTGATTGGATTTGCTTTTGAGGATCAGAGCCATCTGAAACATGCTGTTTAAAGATGATTTGTCCGCAGATTTGTTTGGTGACCCTAAGTGAACACCTTATAGAAACACCATTAAAATTTCTCAGTCCAGACATGCTTCAGAGTTTTAAACCATGTATTTGTGGCATCTTTAATATCTTACGCACTAATTACAGTAGCACAAGCTTTATTGTGAGTTAAATTGAGCAGTTTGTACTGCTGGGTTTGTATCAGTCTTCAGTCCTTATTTTTCTAAAACTGTTTATTTGAGAATCTGAATGACTTTAAGATAAAAATACAAGGGGGGGAAAAAAAATCACAATCTTGGGCAACTCAGAACATCATCCTCAGGAAAACTAGAAATCATGGGCGGTCATCTTACCTGATTT